CCAGGCTGGCCTCGAACTCACAAGATCCGCCTGCCTCTGCCTCCCCAGTACTAGGATTAAAGGCCACCCTTTCTTTCTTTCTTATTTTCCTTACCCTTCTCCTCTTTCTTTCCTCTTTTTCCTCCTCTTTCCCCTTCTCCTCCTTCTCGTTCTCCTTTTTTGTCAGTCTTTCATCCTCTTGTCCCTTTGTGTGTGTGTGTGTGTGTGTGTGTGTGTGTGTGTGTGTGTGGTTTTTGTTTGTTTTGTTTAGTTTTTTGGGACAAGATCTCTCTGTGCTACCCTGACTATACTGGAACTCTCTATGTAAACCAGACTGGCCTTGAATTTACAGAGTCTCGTTTGCCTCTGTTTCTGCCTCTGCCTTTGGAATGCTGGGTTGAGATAAGGTTTCATATAGTTTAGGTTGGCCTCAAATTCATTGTGTAGACAAGAATGACCTTGAACTCTTGATCTCCCTGCCTCTACTTTCCAAGTGCTGGGATTCCAGATGATCCCCCCAACCCTCTGTGTGGGGGGGGGCAGGCATGGTTTAGTTTGGTTTTGTCATATTGGCATTGAATGCAGGGCCTTCTTTACTCATTCAAGACAAAACACGCCACTGAGCTTACCTCCCAGTATTTTATTTTATTTTTTCCTTAGGAAAGGTTCTCAGCTTTTAATCCCAGCACTCAGAAGGCAGAGGCAGCGTCTCTGAATTTGAGATCAGCCTGATCTATAGAGGGAGTTCCAGGACAGCCAGGGCGGTTACACAGAGAAACACCCTCTTGAAAAAAACAACAAGAGAGAGAGACAGAGAGAAAGAGAGAGAGAGAGAGAGAGAGAGAGAGAGAGAGAGAGAGAGAGAGAGAGAGAGGAAGAAGAAAGGTTCTCATTAAGCCATTGCTGGCCTTGAACTTATTTATGTTGCCCAGTCAAGGATCTAACTTGCGATCCTCCTGCCTCAGCCTGCAGAGTGCTGAGATTACTGCTATGTGCCACCACACCTGGCCTCCTTCACTCTTCAGTCCATGTTTCAGGTTGGAAGGAAGGGGATCTAGAAATGATCACATGGTCACTATTTCATCAGAAGCACAGAAACAGCAAAGGGGCCAACGAGTATAATCATGTCTAACACTCTAGCTAAAAGGATCTGAAAAGTAGCCCCACCCCGGGATGCTCAGTTCCTAGGCCATAAGCTGCTGCTGGTCATCTACACCACCACATGGCAAGCATGTGTTTTATTCACAGATTAATGCATTGTAACGCAAGAAAAGATACAAGAGAGCTATATTTCCGGTTATATTTTATCAGAACCTGGCATAGTATCAATCACATCTGGACTCATTTGAGGGAAGTTTCTTTTTTTCCCCTATGTATTTACTTATTCATTTTATTTTGTTTTTATTTTATGCATATGGGTATTTTGCCTGTAGGTATGTGTGTATGTGTACCAGGTGCAACCCTGGTGCCCTCAGAGGCCAGAAAAGGGCATCAGATCCCCTGGAACTAGAGCTGCCACATAAGTGCTGGGATTGGACCCAGGTCCTCTGGAACAGCAGCAAGTTTGGTTTTTATTAAGTGACATGTGTGTTTGGGTATGGGTACATGCATACGAGGCTAGAGGCGCCACTGCAGCTGACGTCAGCAGTAGTTGTGAGGCACCCAACGTAGATGCTAGGAACTGAATCCAAGTCCTCTACAAGAACAGTATGCTCTCTCCTAACTACTGAGCCAACTCTGCAGTCTGGGAGTTTTCTATTACGGAAATCCCTCTGGGTATATTTTTCAGCTTCAGTGTTCTGTTTCCAGAGGGGAGTTTACAACACTTGCAAGACAAAGAATTTTGAAGTTCATCTACCCATTCAGTCAATATTTCCTAACATGAAGTTCTAAGGGATGTCTAAGATGATTACCATGAGGAAGATGGAACTAGAGAAGAGATCAGAAGTTTGGTTAAGAAAAGGCTGGAGAGATGGTTTAGTTGTTAAGCATGCTTGTTGCTCTTGCAGAGGACCTGGGTTCAATTCCAGCACACACAGCAGCTCACAAACATCTATAACTCCAGTTTCAGGGAATCTGATGCCCTCTTCTAGCCTCTGGGGGCTCTTACATGCACACACTGCATATAAACTCTTTTTTCCCCCTCTGAGACAGGATTTCTTTTTGTAGCCCTGTAGAGCAGGCTGGCCTGGACCTCAGAGATCCACCTGCCTCTGCCTTCTCAGTGCTGGCATTAAAGGTGTGCACCACCCAATGAGAGCATATAAGCTCTTAAAAGCTCACACACATACGCAGCATAAAAAATCTTTTTAAAAAGAAGGCTGATAGCCGGGTGTTGGTGGCACACGCCTTTAATCCTAGTACTCGGGAGGCAGAGGCAGGCAGATCTCTGTGAGTTCCAGGCCAGCCTGGTCTACAAAGTGAGTTCCAGGACAGCCTCCAAAGCCACAGAGAAACCCTGTCTCGAAAAACCAAAAAAAAAAAAAAAAGAAAAGAAAAAAAAAAGAAGGCTGATATAAAAGGGAAGATGTGGGAGTCTTGGAGTGTATCTCAGTGGTTAGGGGAACCCACCCAGCACATGTGAGGTTCTGGGTTCTACTCCAAGTGCCAGAGAGAGAGAGAGAGAGAGAGAGAGAGAGAGAGAGAGAGAGAGAGAGAGAGAGAGAGAGAGAGAGAGAGAGAGAGAGAGAGAGAGAGAGAGAGAAGCAGAAGGTAAGGTGATGGCACATACCTTTAATCACAGCACTCACGAGGCAGAGGCAGGAAGATCTGAGTTAGAGGTCACCATGGTCTACAGAACCAGTTCCAGAACAGCCAAAGCTATGCAGAAAAATCTTCTCTGGAAGAAAGAAAAGGGAGGTAGAGGAGGGAGGAAGGTAAACAGGGAGGAATGGATATGCCATTCCAGGGATGGTGAGTATCCCAAGCAGAGACCCACAGGCCTGAAAATGGTTCGTGTTTGACCAGCTGACTCCTCAGCATGTTGAGAAGCAGCAAAAACTGAGGCAGGAGCCAGAGTTTTAGGGAGTATATCAGCTATGGCCAGGAATTTAACCCACTGCTCACACAAAAACTCTCTCTCTCTCTCTCTCTCTCTCTCTCTCTCTCTCTCTCTCTCTCTCTCTCTCTCTCTCTCTCTGTCTCTCTCTGTCTCTCTCTCTCTCTCTCACACACACACACAGAGTAAGGCTATCTCAAGCACAAAGAAAAGATGAGTAAAAATAAAAGGGCTGGGAAAATAATAGTAGATGCTTGCTTTCTAAGCACAAGTCCCTGAGTTCAATCCTCAGTACTCTCATAAAAACGACACAGTGACATCCATTTGAAATCCCAACACTGGGGAGGTAGTGGGGTCTAGTGTAGCCTGGCTGGTGAGCTCCAGACCAGTAACAGACCCTGCCTTGAGGTGGGTAGGATCTCTGAGGATGATACCACCAAAGGCTATCTATCCTCCAACTTCCACACACACCCAGGTGCACATGCGCATGCACAAGCATTGTAAACAGAAAAATGAGGACTTGGAAGGTGTCATAGGGAGACCTGGCAACTCAATTTGAGGTTACAAAGGGACTAAGTAGGTCCACGATGACATTAATACCTTGGCAGACAATGTCCATACTTGATTGTCTCAGTGTAAGCATTGGAACTAATGCCAGTGAGGACAGTGACTTCATAACCATTTGGTGGAAGATACCAAGTAACTGTGGACCTCAGAATGCCATCCATTCCTACTAGTAGGCAATAGGATGCTTAATCCAATGCCTATGACTAGCTGCCCCTGCCTCACCATACTGAAAAGAAATCTTTCTGGTTCTGGAAGAGCTTTGGGGCACTGGGAGGTAAAGGAGGAATGCCATGGGGTGCCACGGTACCCAGGAAAAGGCAGCTAGTGAGAGAATCAGAAGTACACTTCACCAAGGGAGCGGCCAGAATGGAGCTGGGAACCATGAAGTGACTAGCTTAAAGGGAGGAGCTACGGAAGACAAGGAAAAGCTGCTGAGTGAGCAAATTGGGAATGGCTGGGTGTCTCAGGGGATACCCGATCGTACCTGGGCTCCTGGCATCACTCCCTGCTTCACAGATGCACATGCTCCCCCGGAATGGAGCCTTGGTTTGTCTCTCCTGGCAGATGGGAACACTGATGGTCTGGAGGCTCTGACATTTCAGTATAGAGTCCATTTCTTTTGGTGGGAAGCCAAGAACTCTAGACCTGTGGAACCTGCTGCTGGAGGCAGGCACAGAGAAATGTATGCACAGCTCAGAAGGACTCAACCTGTTTGAGCTAGTATCATGAAGGTGCGGTATAGCCCCAGAAATGGCATTACTTTTATAATGATATCCTTCCTGAGATTCTGAGACAGGCAGAACCCACAAGATGGCGAAATCCTATTGTTTCAGGAAATTCATAACCCATGGACAGGGTACATTTGCTCCAAGTAGAGGTGGTCACAGCAAAATAGGTGTTTAGAGCAGGGTTGCTGGGGAGTGTAAAATGCTGTGTGCATACAACTTGTGTGTAGACACACTCCTGTTCTTTTATTGACTTGCAGTCCCCTGAAGCAGTCTCTTGTTTCCCATCATCCTTCAGGCCTCTGATTGGGGTGGGTGACTGTCTGGAGGATGAAGGCCTTGGCAACTGGAAAGTAGATCCAGATGGGACCCAAATTATAGACTGGAACCCTTATGTGGCAGAGCCAGCTAGTTTTGCCACTTGGCTCCTGTGTGACCTTAGACAGGTCACTGTTCTCTACTCTAAAAGGGGAATAGTAATGATAGACCCTACCTTAAAGGGGTACTGCCCCTTTAAATAAACAGTTGCATGCCAAAATGCTAAATGTTCCAGCAGAGAAGTTTGACACATTTATCTCCGCCATCCCAGCCCACTTTAGGAAGCCAAGCAAATATATACCAAAAGTCTTCCTTCCTTCCTTCCCTCTGTACTTTTCCCCTTTTCACTCCTGGTTTCCCTTAGGCCTTCAACACCCTCAGTAATTGCTTTGGACAATATAAGCCCACACAAATCCTTTTAGAAAAGCAGGTTTATTGGTCCGGCTGCTCACCAGAACACAGCAACATGAGGGGCTCCCCCAGAGCCCACAGGAAACTGCATCTGCCCACAACTTAGGCCCCTTCAGCCCACCAGCACCAAGAGACCTCATTCTACCTCCCTCAGCTCATGTCTTCAATCATTTGGAGGAGGGAAAGGAACCAAGAAAAAAAAAGGAAAATTAAAAAAAAAGCAAAGCTTCTTATTGTATAAAAGGTCTGTGGTTTCGATCCCCCACCCCGCAACACACATCCCAGATATCAATTAGCTGCAATTCTAAAAAGCAGAGTAGGGAAGATAAGCAGTTGGGGAGAAGGAAGCAGCCTCTAGCCATCATTTGGGGGAGGTGTTGTCTTTGCTCCTGAATAGCCTTTAACGGGGAGGGGAAGGCGGGACCACTGTGTCTTCAGGAGAAAGCCTGGTCAATGATTACAGATATGAAGCCTCCAACAAGAAGCAGCACCCTACCCACAAACTTTCAGGTAAGGTGTCCCCAAAGGCAAGGAACTTAGGGAGGTCTTGGTAAGTTCTGCAGCTTTACACTAGGGAAGGATCCACACTAAAAGCTGCTGGGAGGGAGCTGGGGTGGGCTTCCCCGAGTGCGCTCAGAATCTCTGCTCCCTGCCTGGCCCTTAGCACCTTGCTCTCTCCCTATGACCTCCCTCCGGAACTGCTAGTTTTCCACAGCTTGCTGCTGCCCCCTGCTGGAATCCCGATTTTTGGGGATTGGAAAACTAGGCTTCCCAGAAAGCAATTCCCAGACCCTGGAAGAGAGGATCCAGTCCAGCTTACCTCTCTTTGGAATACACTTCTAGAACTGACTGCCCTCCTTCCTGTTCCTGAAACCTTCCTGCGCCCTGAGACCCTACCAGAGTGGGATTCTTGCTTCAGTTTCTTTGTGTTGCTAAACAGGGCATGCCTTTTTTTAAAATCCCATTTCAACTTTCTCCTCTATTTTCCCCTTTCTTTCCAAAACCATACTCATGTGCTCCTGCGTGCAGATTTTGTAGACTTGTAAATGGTCCCCTCCCCCCACACCTACCATCCTTTCCCGAGCTCTGCTTGCCTCCTGCTCACTTCGGTGGGACCTTTATCCAGGGTCTACGCACACTCTGCTTCCACCTCACCATATTGTCTTAGGCTCCCCCAAAGGCCCTCATGTCTTCCAGTGGGCTACCTCCCATAAGAGCAAAGGTCTCCCTAATCATATTCTTTCTTCATGGCACCTTGATTGCTGCCACCACCTTCTAAGCACGGGCTCTATCACTGATTCACCCCAGCCATCTCTTCTTATTTTGAAATAGGGTCTCACTGAAATACGCGGGCTGGCTTTGACTTACTCTATAGTCCAGACAGGCCTTGAGTTTTCAATTCTCCCGTCTCAGCCTCCCAGGTAGCTGGGATAGCAAGCTGGCACTAAAAAGCTGTCCCTGCAAGAGGTGTCTTTAGGATTCACTCTTTCCTCTTGCAGAAATTTTGGCTTGAGTCTCCTGGGATGGGGGTAAGGTAAAACGGCCCAGGAAGCGAGAGTGCTGCGGTTGAGTATGAAGCTATGGTGGAGAGGCCGAGTAGGAGGCAGATTCCCCCAAAGGGGCCTAACTGGAGAGCTAAGTTTAAAAAGCATCCGAGACCAGGCCATTCTTCCTATTTTCTACCCAGACTGTGTCCAAATTGAGACTGTCCATGGTGGGAGACCACCTCCCCTCGGCCTAAGGCTTGTGCTATGAAGGGATGCGCTTCCAGGGTGTGTTTTCAGCTTAGAAAAAGCTCAACCAGCATGGGGCTGAAGAGAATGCGAAATAGAAAGTTTGAAAAGAGAAAGGAGGTGGGCAGGGGTGGGGGGTCAGGGAGCGGCAGGGTCAGGAACCGGCCTCCAGGGCAGAGTCCTGCTCAGTCGCTGTCGCTCTTGTCCACTAGGACTGCATCTGACTCTTCGGTGATCTCCAACAGCGTGTGCACGTCGGGGCTGCTTCCGCGAAGCAGATCGGTGGCCTCGCCGCGCTCTGCGCCAACCTCGTCGTCATCAGGACCCACCTCCACCATCTCGGTGGCCTTCAGCACCTCTACCTCGCCCTCGCGGATCTTCTTGACGTGAAAGGTGAAGGGCGGCACCTTGTAGACGGCGGTCTTGGAGCGCGCGTACACCACGTGGTCGGGCGTGAAGGACTTGCGCAGCTTGTCGCGCGATGTCTTCAGCTTCTCGCGTCTCTCCACGGGGACCAGGCGCGTGCCCAGCTTGTTCATGCGCTTCTCCAGCGTGTGCCGCGTCTTCTCCAGGTTCTCCTTAGTCTTCAGGCGAGTCTTCTCCAGGTTCTCGCGCGTACGCACCTTGGTCTTCTCCATCTTCTCCTTGGAGAAGGCCTTCTTGAAGTCGTCCACGCGCCGCAGGCCACTGCGCTTGATGCGCTCGGCGCGGGACTCCTCGATCACCTCCTCCACTTCCACCGCCTCGTCCGACGACAGCTCGATCGCGGCGTCCTCCTCGGGTCGCTCGCCCTCGCCCAGCTCGTCACCCTCCTTCTCCGGCAGCGCCTCCGACTCTTTCAGCGACTTGCTCACGCTCAGTTTGGCGGGCAGCTTGACTTCATCCTAAGAGAACAGAACCGAGATGAGAGATGCCACCGGAGCTGGCAGAGCAAGGGCTGAAGGATGGGACCCCGGGCGAAACCGATTGGGGTAGTGGCGCTCCTGGGGAGAGCATGGGGACCTATGTTGTGAGGGTGAAATCCACCTGACTTGTTCACTCCTGAACACCGCAGTGCCCGGTACAGGGTGGGTCACAACGTGCGCGTTGGATGGTCGCTATACAGAGGAGGAGAGAGCAAAGCTTGTTCAGACGCTGGTCGGCATTATGATTGTACTTGGACTAAATATTCCAGGGACCCTCAAACCCTAGCACACTTATGGCTACCGCTACCCCTAGGATTGCTGTAAGCCATTGTGACTTCGGAAGGTACAGTTTAACTTTGTAAATAGCAGAGCGCCCTCTGGTGCCCTGGTTTACTCGCTGCCCCGAAGGACACAGTCGGTTTGGGGATGGTTAGAAGTTTGGAATGAGCTAGGGGTGACTTCAAAGCGAATCCCAGGTGGGTGGCTTTAAGCTAAAGTAAAAGAAGTGAGTTCTTAGGATTGAATCAGTTTTGGGGGAGGAGCGCTCTGCCTGCAGCCCCGCCTCCGTCCTTGACTTTCTCCTGTTATTAGGCTCCACCAGTGGACATCCCCTACCCCGACATGTAAGTTAATGGAGGAAAGGGGAGACGCTGGCTGAACGCCAAGTAACTGTTTTCTCCTCGGTCTGGACATTTCTTCTAGAACTGCGTTCCTTGCCCTGGAGTATAGGGGAGGGCTGCTTTTCTAGGCTTGCTTTGTTTTTCAGGCCAGAGCTTAAAAGCCAGGATTGGGGAAAGTGACGCTGGACTGCCTACAATCCCGGATCTCAAAGCTAGCTCTGAGCTCTCCTCTTCCTCTCAGAGAGCCTAGCACCAGTCCTAGCCTTGATTCTGTGGAGATTTGTCGATAACCTGACTTGGGATCGACATTTCTTCATCTTAGGATCCCCCAACACACTGCCACCACCAAAGAGTAGACGTGGGTGAGCTTAGAACTGAAAGGGTCTGGCCCGGATGATAGATGGAGGCTCCTATAGAGGCCCAGACTTGCTTTTGGTATTTAAGCCCAAGGAGTGGGGGGGGGGGAATGCACGTTTTTCTAAACTGTTTTCTCAAGGTCATTTTCCAGAATTATAAAATAATCCCATTCCCTGAGAAAACGGGGCAACATAGATTGGTTCTTCTCATAGAAAGATACACATGAGGAAAGATACACATGAAGAAAGAATAGACACACACACACACACACACACACACACACACACACACCTATTGGTAGGCTGCATGAAATCTTTATACCACCTGCTACAGAAATCCCTTCCCCACACCCAATCCCTTTCCTATTCCCTCCCATTCACATCCCCTAGGGCTTCCTGGTTTACATTAGAAACTAGGAACACCTCCTCCCAACTTCCTTCCCTCCTTGTCAATAACATTAGCAGGAACAAAGAGGGAACGATGCTTTCACGTAGTCTCCCAACTGGGCACTAGCTCACTGGGCACCAAGCCACCTCAAGCTATCTGTTACATTACTACACCTCCCAGCAGGCAGGGTAGCCTGAGCACAAGGCATGCTGGGATTTGTAGTCTCCACCTGCCATAAGTGGTGGACTCAGGTACTATCACCGGACTCCTAGGGCATGTGCCATCCTTCTGCCTCTTATTCACCGAGGCATTGAAGGAATGATTTTCTTGTACTGAGTGTAGGACGGTCCCAGCCTCTCCTAGCATTCCTTCTGACTTTGAGTCACTTGCAGTCATCCTGCCTGTACCTAGACACTGACATCATTGGGGTTTACACATCATTTTAAGACTCCCTAGGATTAAACTCTCTGCCATCTCTTCATGCATCTCAATCCAGAATCACCTATAATACCAGTATAAAAAAAAAAAGCAGCCGGGCATTGGTGGCGCACGCCCTTAATCCCAGCACTCGGGAGGCAGAGGCAGGCGGATCTCTGTGAGTTCGAGGCCAGCCTGGTCTACAGAGTGAGTGAGTTCCAGGACAGCCTCCAAAGCCACAGAGAAACCTTGTCTTGAAAAACTAAAAAAAAAAAAAAAAAAAAAAAAAAGCTAGGCAATGGTAGCACTCCAGAGGCAGAGGCAGGTAAAGCAAGTTCTAGGACAGCCAGGGCTACACAAAGAAACCCTGCCTTGAAAAACAAACAAACAAACAAACAAACAAACAAAAAATCACCTCTTAGACCAGTTGGTATTGGATGCCTTTTATTCCAGCACTCAGAAGGCAGAGGCAGATAGTTCTCTGTGAATTCAAGGCCAGCCTGGCCTACAAAGTGAGTTCCAGGACAGCCAGGACTACACAGTGGTACCCTGTTTTAAACTTTTTTCCTGCCTTAATTTAAAAAAATTAAAAATTTTGTCTATTTCTCATCTCCCACACTGAAAACCCACCCAGGTCTCACCAAAGAGTAGGAGAGAGAACCCCACACCCCCTTTTACTAAGGTCAAGCAATGCAGGCTGAACAAGGAATAGTCAGGAAACAGTCCCAACTCCTGGGTAACAAATGCCTGCCCCTCTCCTATACCCCCGACTGCCCCCACATCCCACCCCGATCCCCAGCTAGGTGGCCTCCCTGACCTCTTTAACTTTCTAGACATTGGTCTTTGCCAGCTGAGCTCAAAAAAAAAAAAAAAAAAACAACTCCAGGCTTTTCCTGCCTGCCAGCTTCCATTGCTGCAGTGTTGGGGCACAATCCCAGGGAGGGAAAGTCTATGCCTGGACTTTTCGGGTATGGTGCCTGAGAAATGTAACCCCCTTCGTGGTGGGCTTCCTCTGGAATGACGGCTTTTACTGGAGACACCGTCTTCTGGGTGGAAGGTTGCAGGGTGGGGTGAGAAAACAATTTGGCCCGAGTCCCTGCACATTGTCCTGTAGGCTGGTTCTGAACATCACCATTAGCTTTTCCCCTCCATTAACGGATTCCTCTTTTCCACCCCCATTTCCACGCCAGGCTTCCCTCATGACTCACAGCCTTGGAGCGCTGCCTTGGGCCCACCCAGTCCTCGTGTTGCTACAACAGCCACCAACACAATCCAAAAGGACCTCCCCTTACCCTGGGCACGCGGGTCAGGTACCTTTGTCTCACCCTTACTGCGCTGGCAGAGTGATTAGGGCCATGGAGGGGCCTCATGGAAAGAAAGAAGGGAGGGGTCTGCTTGTTCTGTTTTCCCGTTTTTATTAAGGGAAACCACCACTCCCAACAGGCTTGGATTCCAGAGTTACCTTTAATGACCAGGTCCAAACAAAAGCATGCACAGCCAAACACACACAGCTCCCCAAGTCAGGATGGATGTAGAGAGGCCCCCAGGGAGGTTCCCCCCCTTACACTTCACCTCCCAACCCTGTTGCGGAAAAGTAAGACCTGCTGGCTGAGAAAGCTCATTTTACAAATATTATCTAATTGAGCACCACTATGCCCTCAGCATTTCATATCTGTTAGAGAGAAGGAACAGGTACTACCCAGCTGTGGGTAGGAGCCTCTCTTGATTTAGTGCTAACCAGATCTGTCTACAGCTAGTGCTGAGGAAGACAGTGGAGATGATTCCAAGACCCAAGATCTGCTTAAGGAGCATACCAAAAATATTTAAAAAGCTGTGGGTGTGGGGGGGAATGCCTTTAATCCCAGCACTTGGGAGGCAGAAGCAGGTGGATCTCAGGGAATTTGAGGCCAGCCTGTCCTGGAGTTCAAGGACAACCAGAACTGTTACACAGAGAAACACTGTCTCAAGAAGCAAACAAAAAAAGAAAAAGGAAAAAGGCTGCATTGTGGAGCGGAAGATGCATTAGGAAGGAGAAACGAAGAGGGAGTCCTAAAAGGCCAGGACCTCTGCTTTGGGTACCAAAACAAGGAGATTAAAACATCAAAAGCAGGAAGGGGCTCTCTTCTGCTATAGCACCCTTTCTTGACAGGGATGACATTGTTCCCAAGAGGATGAAAATTGACTCTCAGAAGGTGGCAGGGGCCTTGGATATTAGAACGGTTGTGGTGCTCAAAAAAAAAAAACCTCCATACAAAAATAATCATATATTGTATATATAATATTCAGTTTTCGCCGGGCGTTGGTGGCGCACGCCTTTAATCCCAGCACTCGGGAGGCAGAGGCAGGCGGATCTCTGTGAGTTCGAGGCCAGCCTGGCTGGACTACCAAGCGAGTTCCAGGACAGCCTCCAAAGCCACAGAGAAACCCTGTCTCGAAAAACCAAAAAAAAAAAAAATCAGTTTTCATGAGGGAAGAAGATGGGGAAAAAATCTACAAGGGCTCCTTAGGGGGTGATCATAGAGAAAGAAATAAAAAAGGAGTTGAGAAGCCTTGTGCACTGGAGGCAGCTAAAATGTCCGCCCTTTGGGCCTCTCTGAGCTGGCAGCCTGTGGGTGCCCCACCCAAGGCAAGATCTGGCAAATATAAGGAATCCCTTTGCAAAACATTTTCTAAGAGAAAATGAAAAAAAAAAGTAAGTGCAAATGTTTTCCTCAGCTACAGAGAGTGGGTGAAGAGGGCACAGAGCAGCTCCCAGGCCTGGGCCTCATGAAGGCTCCCCTCCAAAGAGGTTTTGAGCCAGACTGGCCTGCCCCTGAGGGGAAGGGGGAGGGGAGAGGGGGAGAGAATCAGAAGACACACCCAGTTTCATGCAGCTTCATGCAACTCAAGTCTGACGCCAGAAGGGCTACAAGTTAAAAAGACATCAAGGAGCACAGTTCTGTGGTTGAGTATTTGCTTAGCGTGCATGAGGTTCCGGGGTCCGTGCCCAGCACTGGGAGAACAAAACATCGGCACCAAGGAGGAGAGGATCCCCCCTCTTTACCTCCCACCCACACTTCACGCGCCACATTTGCCCGAGCGCTGCACGATGCGAGCATTTTTCTAACACCCATTGCCAGTCCATAAGGAACAGCAGCTTAAAAGGACAGGCCATCGAAGCACTGGCTTCCGTCAAGTGATGGCAGCCGGGAGGAACTG